GAATCTCGTTCCTGCCTTGTCATCAAATTGAGCTCCATTGACTTTGTTGCCTTCGATTCTCTGCAGAAACCCCAACAAGAGCCAGAGTGCTGGTTTTGGAGCTGGTACCAGTAACGCCTGGGACACACTGGCCGCTGAAGCGCCGCAAAACGGGGACCGCCTTCATTCGGGGCCCTTGTTAGCCTATTCTATAGGCCACATGGGCCGCCGAAGCGCAGCGCTCCAGCCCGCGCCGTGCAGCGATCATTTCAGCGTCGGCTCTGTTTTTTGTGCAAGCCGCGGGTGAACCGCGTCAATTCTGGCAGGAAGTCAAACTTAGACATAAGAGGCAGGCCGGTAAATTTAACAAAATAAACATTTCAAAATAAAATTCCGCGATGTTCAAATGTGTTCGTAAACAGACACTGCATGAAAACCACAAGAACACACACAGCAAACTTTGTTGTGTGTGTGTGTGACCATGTGAAGGGGGTGTGGTTTTGGGTGTCTTTCAACTAGAGCAAACAGGACAGAGAGGCAGAAAGTCGTAGGCCAGCTATTAACAACTGGTTCACACCATAGGTTCACACACACACACACACACACACACACACACACACACACACGCACACACGCACGCACGCACGCACACACACGCACACACGCACACACGCACACACACACACACACACACACACACACACACACACACACACACACAAACAGCAAGGGGAAGGGGGGTGTAGAGGATAAGAGCAGAGAAAAGGCAGAGAGGAAATGGAGGACACCAAGTGGTTAAATGAAATACAACAGCTGAGCCGAGGCGCGCCTCGACCGGAGAGGAGAAACAAGTGTCTGGTCTGAACTGAGGAGCAGCGAGCAGCAGCCGAATTTCGTGAGCGCTTCGCCTCCCTGCACTTCGGCGGTCGGTGTGTCCCCGGCGTAACAAGGAGGCCTCGCCTAAACCTCCTCGTCTGGGCAGCTCGCAACAGGAAGGCACTACAACTGCCCATGCAGTGATGTCATTCTAGGGAGCGTCAGATCCCTCTGGAGTTTACCATCTCATTTTCTGATGTCAGTTGGTTTAGTAGATCTGCTGTTTCCATCACACAGTGTGCCAATCCCCTAGAATCAACAGTTTCTCTGAGTAATTTAAGCTCAGTGTGGATGGCGGCCCTTCAGGGGTCAGTGATGATGTTGTCACAAGGCTCTAATATCTGATGTACAGTATCATTTAAAACATTATTTTCCTTTTTTGCCCAGAGTCTTTTATAATCAACAACTTTTCTCTGCAAAAAAAGCTTTTTTCTTTCCAAAAGTGAAACCATATCATTGGAAACCGTATCATGCAGCAGAATCAGAGTCAGTGTGAAAGGACGGAGCAACAACTCGATCGCTGAAGAGTAGAACAGCAGATTAATGTGATGCCATGAGGAATGCCAGTGTGAACACACCTGGCCCTCTTCATACTAAACACCAAGCTTAACCATAGTAGGTTGGTCTAGCCACGCTCCTTTGTAGCCTCAGCAGATCTACCATTGGCCTGGACACTTTTAGGTAGGGCCAATCACAGCGCTCTGTGTTTGTACAGAGAAGTTGGGCAGGACGTTGGACAAGAGCTGCAACAGAAATAAAACTACAAAGATGGTGTCAGCTCAGGAACGGCGCTCATTTAAAACAAGTTCGGACGATTCAGACTTGGGTTTTCTTTGTGACATTAGCAGGTGGAGATGCTTAAAACCTCTATTTAGAAAAAGCAGGGATTCATTTCTTCTCTTTTGTCTGTATGGGTTACTTCTGATTAATATGCCACATTGTCCTTTGCTCTGATTGGGCCTGGCGCTGTCCAGCTGCGTGTGCATGGTTAGAAAAACGACTGTAGATCCCGCCCCATGACCCAGTTCTTCCTAAGGGTCGTGGCCAGGCTTTATTTACAAACATAGGATGGCTTTCAAGGCTAATTGGACACCGTTTGAGCTCTGATGTTGCTGCAGAACCGGGAAGAACCAGAACCACAGAGATTCCTGGATTTACCTATGGGGTTGTCCGAGGAGAAGGACTAATGTTACTGAGTGATCCTAGCAGAGGGGCTTCGCTGACGGAAAAATGAGTTCCAACTCCCCTGTTTCTATAACAGCTTGCAATGAGCGGCAGTGCCTTTGAGATGAATAACAAAGATGATTATGAAATCATTCTGTAGGATTATGGTTTGTATTGAATCACTATAAATAATGGTTTAAGGAGTAGATTTAGACAAGTTTTTTTTTGTTTAAGATTAAAATTATGTTAAAAAATGTAAACTTTAGGAGTAGTTTTGGATTTTGCTCTTGCTGCTTAACAGCTGAAGCTGAACAACAAAGAAAGGTGAACATTTGAGTAAAAACAACGTAAATGAAACGACTCCAACAAGGACCTGCTTCAACATCAACAAGACAACTCGTGTGTGTGTGCGTGCGTGCGTGTGTGTGTGTGTATCACACACTGAGGCCCTGGCCACCTCTCAGACGGTGTAGAGAAAGCAGCTTTAGCTTCGTGCTAGGGTTCCCCCAACACAGAGTGTAGAGGTGACAGGGTTAGGCCAGCGCTGTCTGTGTGTCTATCTCACTCAGCTAACTGCTAAAGAGGATAAAGCAAAACATCTCCTTTCAGCTCATTTGACCAACTCAGACTTAAATGTTGGATAAATCCCAGTCCTTCCAGTATAAACGCTATGGTGTACATTAGGGATGTAAGAAAATATCGATATGGCAATATATCGTGATTTTTTTTCAGCAATATTATATCGATATTCAAAAGACGTGTATCTAATTCTTGAAAGAATTTACATGCAAACATTTGTGTATTTTATTTTCGTTTTGTGCAATTCAATCGCCACCCGCTAGTTGGCAGCAGTGTGCAACGGGTTTTGTTTCCACCATTGAAATGTAAATCCCTCCATCATGGTTCAGATACCTCATGTTAAACATGTTACGTATCAGTTTGGACTGTTTATTGAACATTCTTACAATAAATTCAGTAAAAAAAAAATTGCTTGTATCATCTGACTGAATGTATCGCAACATATCGTGATATGTATCGTATTGCCAGAACTTCAAAAATACACATCCCTGGTGTACATTTTTGTCCAGTAACTGCAGCAGCAGTGACTATTGTCATTAGAGTGTTTACTGGATAAACAATAAAATTATTTGGCTGAATGGATGCTGTACACTAATATTATTGAGCCCAGACAATTTGAAAATGGAGCTGGAGGCCTGGAGGTCCCTGTCTGAATCCCCATCGGGCTGACTAAACTTTTGGCCTGTAAGTAGATGAGAAAGGCACTCTGGTTCTTCAGCATCTAGTCAAAGTGCCTTTGAACTATTTTCAGGAGCCAACAACACAAGTGCTGGGCATCTCCCAGGCCTGCCATAAATCAGGAACTCTGCAGTAAATGCTCAACACTTGTTCTGCTGGATTGTACATTGGTCCTGTCTCCTCTCCCTTCCTCAGGATCTCAGCCATCAAAATGGGAGATGCCACCCTCAATTTAGTCTCCCAGCTCCCCCCTGCTGTTGCGAGAGATTTACAAACAGCTGGATGTGATCTGGAGCGACTGAACTCCAGCCTCTCGTGCATCATCCTGGAGAAAAATACACTACATTACATTAAACTGGTCAGAGAAGTGACCTTAGACTTAAAAATTACTGCCTCTGCACAACACACACACACACACACACACACACACACACACACACACACACACAAACTACTTTCACACAGGAACAGTAGTGGTGTTTTATTTGAAGGCAGATAAGATTTGCTGTAATGAACACCAGCCAGTGAACACGGGTGGCGGGTGCAGAGTCCAGTCATGTGACTGCTCAGCAGCCAGGACTTCATTTGCATTTGGCCATTTGAATGTTCTCTGGTTCTGTTGCAGAAACTCACAACACATCAGTGCTGACAACAGCGGATAGTCCAGTCCAACCAAGTCAGACACAGAGGATCCTCTGAAGTCAAGTCCCATTTCTGCAGCGTAACTTTAAATCTGAGCCGTGTGTGTGTGAGTGTGTGTGTGTGTGTAATCTATGGCAGTAGAGGACACGCTGAGCTACCTTGACCATCTTGTGTGAGTTCAGGTCAAATAATTAAGCAGCTTAAGCGTGGACAGGCACAGCTCCAGACAGTACCCTGAGGGCGTTAGAAAATGTGAGTTTTATCCACCTTCCTTCAGATCCTGCTTCTTTTCATTTGCAGCGGCTCTGCAGGAGGCAGCACACTAACCAGACCTGGTGTTGCAACATCCCAACAGGTCAGCAGGCTTCGTCATTTGCCTTTTTGGAGCCTGAACTGAAGATGTACTCTGCCCTGGCCCTGAAAACTTTAGCCGCCAACCTTTTGCCTCAACTCGTACTCAAAGTCCAGTGACGCAACAGGACATACGCAGAGCCGCCCTGCCAGGCAACAGACGAACCTCCAAACCACTGAAACCCATCCAAATAAACCTGACACAGCTTTACGGTTACACGGGAGCACTGGCACCGAGGCTGAATAACGCAGCTGGACCAGTCCCACCGTCTGTCCTCCTGTCCTGAGACACATTAGGGTTCATCTGTAGACATGAAAGCCACCAGGGCTGAGCTGAGAGGGTGTCCTGGTGCAGGACAGCATCCTGAATCAGGCCTGGAGGCTCGCCTTTAAAGGAACAGGGCTAGGTGTGAAGCATATATCCCATAATAACACCGACGTGTTGAACTACGGTAATGTCCTCACGACGTCTCCGGTGCGCGGACGAGCCAGATATGTGAACTCTGCGTGTTTTAGCGGTGAAGCAGCGCCGCTAGCCAGGCATGGAGGTAGCGTGAAGCTAACCCCTCCGCCGTCGGCTCTACCGTCTTCCCAACAGCGCGGTGGCAACGGGCAGACCCGGGTCTCCGTTTTAGCGCCACGGCGAGCGTCCACACACCGTCTCAGCTCAGCGACACTCACAGCTCCGGCCCCGAGGCCGTGTCCTCAGCCCACCGTCACACCGAGCCTACCTGCGGTGTCCACCCCAGGCGGGCGGCGAGCGGCGGACGGGCGCATCCGCTGCAACAGCAGACAAATCCAAGGGAGGCGGCCGCGACTCCCTAGGCAGGAACCATGATTATCGAGGCAGGCTCGGAAAAACAAAACATTAAAATAAAAAAGTCCAAACGGGCCTCGTCTCTGACTAAAAACACATCTGAGCTGGGAGCGCGGCCAGAGTCTGAGAGGATTGTTTATTCTCGGAGTGCCCTGGCTGTGGAGGAGTGAGCGGAGACTGCACACTCCTCCTCCTCCTCCTGACACCACCCTTAAAGGAGCAAGCTGCTGCTGCCCACACCCCCACAGCCACCGGGTGGAGGATGGAGGTCTGGGACCGTCATGTGGATCATCTAGAGTTCAGCAGATTGATATTTATTATATCTAAATTTATCTGGCAGTGTTGTCATCACGTCACGTGGAGCCTGTTTGTTTGTCCATCTGGTGGTAAAATATCTAGTAGGTAAATGTTCTAGCATCACAGACAGACAGGGTCATTAAATCATAATGATCTTAAAGCAGAAATAGATTCAACTCAGAAAAATTAAATCCCATAATACTATAGAAAATCAAAGATGATTAAAAATTCGAGTTAAACATAAGAAAATAAAAGATTTAGGTAAAGGCAGCTTTAAATAGAAGGGTCTTTAGCTGTTTTTTTAAAAGTGTCCAGACTGTCAATGCTGTGTAAGGATAAAGGAAGATCATTTCAGAGTCGGGGTGCAACAGTCTGGAAGGAGCGATCACCTCGACTTTTGTATCTGGTCTCTGGAACTTCCAGAAGGTTCTGGTGTGTGGACCTGAGGGCTCGGGTTGGAGCATAAGGCTTTAACAGTTCAGTAATATAGGGAGGAGCTTTACCATGTAGAGCATTGAAAGTTATAATCAGGATTCTTAAATGAACTCTAAAGTTAACGGGTAACCAGTGCAGAGACATTAGAACAGGAGGGATGTGTGCTCTTCTGTTTGCTCCAGTTAGGAGCCTCGCTGCAGAGTTCTGGACCAACTGAAGGCGGTCAAGGGCTTTTTTGTTAAAACATGTGAAGAGTGTGTTACAGTAATCTAGACGGGAGAAGCATGGAGAACCATTTCAAGTTCATGTTTGGATACCAACCTTCGCAGTTTGGAGATATTTGTGATAAAAACTGTTTCAGACCAACGTTTTTGAGTGTCCATCAAGAGACATTGATAATTGATCCAATCTAACAGATCACTGTTTGCATTACTAATTGATAAAGTAGGGTGTCCAAATATGGCCTGCAAGTCTTTTGCGTCCCTCTGATGATCTCGTGTGGCCCTGACCGCTATCCCAGAAAGGTAGAGCAGTCCTCTTGTTCCGGCACCCTCTGGAACTTTTTTTCATCAGGTTGTCAGTCGTTTGGAAATGAGCAAAAATGCTGAAAAATAAAATATTTAAAAAATAGTAATAAAAGGGTCAAGTCCGAAATTAAGATATATTTGGCTTTTATTCAATATAAATATCTGGTAACTAGGAGCACACACCCTCACTGACTTTTACTAAAACCAGATATGCGTGTTCCATTCATCAAACTAGTAAACACGACTATAATGTGCCCCAGATCCGCTCATGTGGTTGACAACAGACCCGCATGTAGTGATAAAGACCCGCCACCTGCCAGCTCCTGGACACAGGTGCTTTTCTGTTTTAGAGCCGAGGCTCTTTTCATGTCGCGTACCTAAAAAGGTTTACCTGTCCTTCTGCAAAACAAAGAGTTGCTCTTATCATTTAAACATGTGCTTAGTGAAAAAGGTGAAAATGAGGTAAAATTATTTACAATCAAATCAAGTGCTTTTAACTTTTGCACCTGTCTCTAAAGGGTTTTGACTTTGTTGGATTAAAGGGATTTTTCAGGTGTTTTGAAATGTATTTGAGTGAAAAAGTAAGAAGAGATTAATATTTTACTTGTTTTAGACAGCTCTTTGAACAGCCTCAATTTTGAGAAACACAGATTAGTTATGATCAGACTGATAAGCTAACAGCTTGTCTGTGTTTCTGCTGTCTCAAAGCAGCTATAATCTCAGAAGTTGATGCTAATATTAGCTGTTATAAATGTGCACAACTATAAATTTCGCATTAAACCTTGTGTTATTTTGCGGAGGATTTTAGCTAGCTACTGCACATCTGGCTCAAATGCCATCATACTTCTTCCAAAATGACCATGAAGTGTCATGTCGTCGCTCTGGAGGTTATAAAATAACATTTGCACTAACTGCTATGAAATTTGCAAGAGGAAGTTTTAAGATAATCTAACTGTAATCTCTGGTTCTCCAAACTGAGGCTGCAGATAAGAGAGTTACTGTGAGATACTAATTAACCGCAACCTTTCCAGTGAACTTCACTACAAATGATGTGGACCCACACTTTGGATTTAATCAAATTCTCACTGGCATCTAAGTGACTTAGCCAAAACACCAATGGGCCTACTTCAGATAGCTGAGCAAATAATCCACACGCTAGCAACCATCACCTAGGATTAACACAATGCTATGTATAATAACGAGAACTCCAATATCTGATGGCCTTCTAAAACATTAAAGGGGTGTGTGTATCCATCCATAATTATTGCATCACTTCTTCAGAGGTCACTCATTGGTTTTCTTTAATGGCAGTAATTTAGATTCATGAAGCAAAAACATGTGAAAGCTGTGCGTCACAAAAGTGAAGAGGTAGAAATAAAGCCACATGCCCATCCTGCTCCTTCAAAGCTGACATCGCACTGATGTGGCTGTGTGCACCAGTAACACAACACAGAAGCAGAAACAGCTGTGTTCGCTGTACCTTCAGTTAATAAACCTCTAATGTTCTAGTTGATTTGCATCACATCTGAGGGGGTTGCACAGTGGTTAGCGCTGTTGCATTCTAACAAGAGGGTCCTGGGTTTGAATCCCGGCCTGCAGCCTGTCTGCAGGGAGTTTGCATGTTCTCCCTGTGCATACATGGGTTCTCTCCGGGTACTCCGGCTTCCTCACGAGTCCAAAAATATGACCGTCAGGTTGACTGGTCTCTAACATTGTCCTTAGGTGTGAATGTGTGTGTGCATGGTTGTTTGTCCTGTGTGTCTCTGCTGCCCTGTGATCGACTGGCACCCTTTTCAGGGTGTACCCCGACTGCTTGCCCAGAGACTGCTGGAGATGGGCACCAGCGCCCCGCGACCCTGCATGGACAAGCGTGTACAGGAAATAGATGGATGGATCATTTCTGAGGAGAGCTGAGGGCCAGGGAGATTACGGATTAATAATACCAGTGATGACGGCCTACCCTAGAAATGCTTGGAGATGATCATCATCTGTTTGACTTTTTTCTGACTGACTATGTGTCATCTTCGACACACAAACAGCGGACCCCGGGGGCCCAAATGGTGAGCCAGGGCCTCCTGGGCCAGAAACAGATTGTAACTCAGTGAAGTGTTGATGCCTGCATGAGGCTGTGACTTCACCGTACCAGTTCAGATGGGAATAATCTAGATTCTTCATCTTTTTCTCCGTCCAGCTCAGAGTCAGGCTGCATGTATATGTTTCAGTCACAGGTAAAACGTTTCTGTAACCATTAAAGATGACTGAACTAGTAACATTAGCTCTGTTTTCTGTCTTATTTTCCAAAACATGAATCTAGTTGTGTGTTGGATCGTGTGCAGTTTTCCTAGCATGAAGTTAAACATTTCTACAGAGCAGCTTAAAAACAGTTGTCTCTTTTCTGGCAGCACTGAACCTGCAGGTTCCTGGAGGACTTCAGCGATGAATGCATTTATCAGGATAATCCAGACCAACCACACATGAACTAACTACCGTCTGTAGACGTGAGCTCTCACTCGGCCCTGAATCCGTTGTCCTGGGTGAGCATGGTGGCTCTGAGCTGCAGGACGGATCACGGAGACAGGTGTCTCTGCTGGCCTTCACCCACACATTCATCATTTCATTAGAAAGGTTATTCCTCACACTTCTGAAGACAACTTTATGACTACTCTGGAGGACACTACCAGCAGCCAAACCAGAACTAGACCTCATTCATTCATTCAGCCTCCTACCTTCAGGCAGAAGGTTGAGCAGCTCTAAAGCTCAGAGAACAAGGCTGGGGAACAGCTTCTCCCCGAGGCCGGGAGGCTCCTGACCTCTGAAACCCTAAGCTTCCCTCTGAACTTTTATGTGATTAATAATGACTTCAGGTTATTTATGTGCTTAAGCTGCTGAAGGAACAGGCTGGGTTCTCCCGGCTCTAGATGGATGTGTTGAGGGTGTCTGGGGGAGAAATTATCAGGCCGGTTCCATCTATTACCTTTTGGTAATCGGAGAAAAAATGGAAATGATGGCTGATGCTCCTGTGGGATTTTCATTTCACTTCTCCCCTCTGTAGAGCTGACACAGAGCATCACAGCTACAGGTTCTAGTGAAAGTCACTCGTGTCTTCACACTTCCTTCTCCCGCTTAGTTTGATTCAACAAGCATTTACAAACGTGTGGGAAGCCTGAATAATAAAAATCCTGAACACAACTTGACAACCTGAATGGGGGGCGGGGGTACCAAACTTGCCTTTCAGCTAAAAGGAGAATTAAGGAGGAAGTGCCCCAAAGAAGCTCTGTGTCAGCACACCTGAACAAATCATTACGCTACTTCCTGGATGAGCTCCAGAGTATGAGCGTTAAAAGAATATATCTGCCAGCGTCCTGGATTTACTGGCTGCCTCGGCACCACTGACCAGGAGGAGAAAATGAACAACATAAACAGCAATGAGGTGCCCTTGAACAAAGCACGGAGGCAGCCCCCAGGTGTGTGTGTGTGTGTGTGTGTGTGTGTGTGTGTGTGTGTGTGTGTGTGTGTGTGTGTGTGTGTGTGTGTGTGTGTGTGTGTGTGTGTGTGTGTGTGTGTGTGTGACTTTGGTGTTGTTCACTAACACAGGATGTGTTCCCACAGAGAGGTTTCCAAACACCTTGGGGTTTTCACTCACCATGAGTTATCCATGTGAATCTGAATGTGAGATGGCTCACTGATTGGTTCCTAATAATGTTTCTCTTTCTTTTTGTCATCTTGTGCTAATCTTTGCTATCAGGTCTGCTCGACTGCTGTCTGCCATCTCAGTGTGGCCTTGAACAAAATGTCCCTGAGGACCAGGAGAACATCAGTGTTCTCACGAATAAGAACACAACAACATAACCTACTTCCACTCATCCTTGTCTCTGTTTCCCTTGTCAAATACAGGATGGTGTGTGTGTGTGTGTGTGTGTGTGTGTGTGTGTGTGTGTGTGTTTTCTCCT